CAAGTATGCAGAAGTAGGCAGTAAAATATCGGATATATGAAGCCTGTCGGAAGAGCAACGAAACAGACGACCACTCAGAGTACTGTCGATTATGCGAATGTGAGACCGACTGTTGTTGCACATAATGTAAGCAAACGTGCACTAGATTCTATCGTCATACTTAGCTGAGAAGCTTCAATACATTGCAGTGAATAGGCGCCCATAATTTCGAACACTCTGCATAAGAATAATGAGGAATGGCGTTGTCATCATTGATATAAACTGAGGAACAAATACTGGACTGTATGCCTCTTCTGTCCTATACACCACTACTATGCCTCTAGAATAACTTAAATAGTACCACTTGAAATTGTCCAAGTCTATAGAATCACTGACTTGTATATAGACTGGCTCTGAAAGTCTTGGGACAGAGAGATCAAGCAAGAATATGCCACTGCGAATCTGAGAAGAAGTCGATGATGTCATGCGATCCCAAATTCGATCGAAAAGATGTTCGTGTTTAGGGATAGCCGAAATTTTTCTCAAGAACTCATCGATACTGTATTACTTGAACAGATGATTTCACTTTATCAAACGTATAAAGATGAAAAACTTCTCTAGAGCCCTTGCAAAAAAATTCCAAAGTAAGAACTCGCTAGATTCGCGTGATATCTTATCATCCTTGACAACTTCCGAGCGGAGATAGTCTTTTTTACGGTAAATGTTTGCAAAAAATTAAAATTATGCGCTGTATTTGAAATATAAAGAGGCGGAGGTGGTGCAGTGACAAGTGGCGCTATNTTTATTGGTACCAGACTCGTCCGGGACGATAAAAGCACTGACTTGTACATCGGCTAGCCACCCAAGTCATTGTATAGGCCGCATAGCACTCATTACGCCACCACGATTCTGAATGGAAGTCGAGTACGGGGGCACATCCCTCAGACGGGATTGATTAAGGCCAAAAAACTTTGCTTGAACTTTATTCAACCGCTTCAGAGAAAAAAAAATTATTCTACATTATCGACATGTTAGCCAGGAAGACCGGGCAAATCCGGAAGACAGTTTCACCCAAAGCTGTGCATTGCTATCTCAGTTCCACACAAATCTGTAGCTATCAATTTTCGAGAACCTTTATCATAAGAGCAACGTTTACAGTGGCTTATTTCAGTAAGAGGATTACACATGAATGCTTGAGTAACAGTGAGCATAAAGATGTACATTGCCGTTGTTCCAGAAATTTGTGAGGCTACTCGAAAGATTGAGGATTACTGCCGATCAGTCCTCCAGCAATGACAGTTGCAAGAAGTGTGAACAGCGTTCCGACGACAGCTAGCCAGTATGCGTATCCCAAATGGACGTTAGCGATCAATTCGTACGAAATCGAAGTCATGTAGGCTGAAATGTAACGAGTAAAAGTAGAATTCAATGACTGTTTCGGACTGTTACCCTCACTCACCAACTTTGCTTTTGTAACGAACTCCAAATACCATAATTGCAATGAAGAGGCAGAGAAAGGATAGAGCGCAAATCCCAGCTGTCGGAATGCCCATTCGAAGACGTTCGGAGAATAAAGAGAAGAAGCATCCTGAATCGAATCAAATGTGAAATAACTTACACAGTAGAAGTGGAACGTTTTGTCTTTCAGGGTGTTTTCGCGTAGTACTTTCTTAGAGGGGAGCATTTGATAATACTGTAATATAGACAGAAGAACCATAGTTAAAGGTGATTGTTCTTTTTTNTTTTTTATGTGCTCTTTTACATCACAGGAATGAGTTTTTTACCTTTTTGTGTCCTCCCATTATCAAAGTACCACATCTTAGTGATAGGGCAGGGAAGACAAACAAATTTGCTCCTTCAATGGTTTCCAATTAACAATATGAAGTTTATTCATTTCTCACAACATTCTTTTCCAATGCTACTAAAGAAGTATTCGACGCCGAAGATAACTAGCAAAGTTCAAAAATGGTACCATATAGACCAAGTGACTTACTAATAGAGAAAGAATACGTAAGAATCAGTTGGGAATCTCTCCTACATACTTGTATTGTATGTAAGATAGGAGAATTCTCTGATCTCCGGTCCAATTGAGTGGGGATTTACTGGATATACTCAACTGGTCTTTAAAGAAGTTTAGTCGACATTTTATCGCGCTTGACGAATTCACCAGCAGCCCTACTCGTAGAGATCACCTTGCTAACCGTCTTTACAGAGCCACCGCAAGTCAGGAAGTCGAATGCGGGCGCATCCACGGGATTGACTAATGGCAAAAGACTTTATCTTTGTTAGTAAAGTTTTTGATAACCAATGATTTTTTCGCTTCAGCGAAGATCATCGCTTCTTGTTGCACAAAAATGAAAGCGCTTTGAGCTAATGTTTGTCACATGACGATGGCTGAACATGGTCTCACCGCTACAGGAAATACGAACAATTCCCTCTAAGCAATCTATCACCCGACATGGTCAGGGAACAAGGTTCAGAGGCAAAAGAGGAGTACCTTCGAGGGAGGCCCTCGTGGCCCCACATTAGGTTGAATGCAATGAAGAATCATGTAAACTATCTTACCTATTGCAACACCTTGAAGGATGCAGGCAACGATGACGAATCCAAGCGTAACTTTCTCATGGGTAGCTTTGGACTGAAAATCGGGAATTGTTAGCGAAAATAAAGGAAATAAAAAGGGGAATACCAAGTAAAGCACACAAAATGGCATGAATAATTCAGATAAAAATTGTGATGAACACTTACAGAGGCCCATCTTGAACAATCCCAATCGGCCACTTGGCGATTTCCACTACCGCAATAATGCGAAACAAGTCCAAAATCAGGAGCACCTTCGCCCTGGAAGTAACCTAAGATTGAATTTTAACCTTTTGAACACTAAATACAATGATGACCAGTTCAGTACAATGATGTTATGTGTGCGAAATACTTAAGCTTTTGACCACGGAGCTAGCCATGGAATTTGCCTACATGAAGTCATTCTCCATCTGAACAATATGTCAATAAAATTCTAGAAAAATTCCAATGGAGTTTATTAGAGCAGATCACATCGAAATAAGCAGTTGGAAACTCATGCCCAGCGCGTTGCCTATTCGGAAGTTTGTATGTTTTCTCTCGAAATTCTCATAGAATGGCTTGAATGTTCATTCTTGCGTGAATGGTGAACACGAACCTCATGAGGCAAGGCATTTCGTTTCAGCACCATATTCCCAGCGATTTTCGGGAAGCTATCCAGGCATTTCACCGCTCAAAGAGCATCAAATTTTCTCAGCCCAATCTTACGTACCCTTCTATGATCTTTATTCTCGACCTGCCATTTCTTCGGGATAGCTTGTGGCAATAATGCTAAAAGTAGAACTCTTTCCTTCTTTCTATTAACTATCGCAAGAAGGATGACCAAGATACGAGCTTTTGGACGAGTTCTCTTCTCTTCTCTTTTTGTTTTGTTCTCTAGTTCACGCTTGTTCATTTCTCTTGATTTTACAGCTGATCCTACTTATATAATCAGCTAAGTGTGCCTGTTGATGTGTTTGTGTGTGTAACGTGTGTTTGTATGACTGGGTATTTACAGCTCCCATCCCACTGGACCTAGATTCAAATTTGCTGGGTTTACAGGTTGCAGAATGTAAACACTGGTGATAGGAGGTAGGACTAAGACTGGATAGTGATATTAGTTGATTTCCACCTGTAGAGTGTCCAAATTTGGAAGTTGAACAGCAGTATTATGGGAAGCTAATGGGTGGTTGCATGACCCAGCACCGCCCCCGAGGGGCGGGCCGTGCCGAAAGATTACTGATATCGACGTAGGGCGTTTGAATCTAACCCGAGTACGGGCAGCAGGATTATGACACCGAATGTAGGCAGTAGAAAAAGAGAATGCCGCTCGCGGGATGCAGTAGGTTTGGAGGAAGCCGGCCAAGCGTGAAATGAGCGTAACTTGAGTGTGAACAGGAGCGAAGCTGAAAAAAAGAGGAATGAAACATGTTTCTTGATCACATAGGACTTGAGCAGTACAACGCTCATGGGCACAACGTGCAGCGTGTGTTTATATGTGTGTTCCGTTGGAAGTCAATAGCTTCTGTCTTTTTGGACCAGAACTTCTAAGCTTGGGAGAATGCAACCGGCATGTCATTTCCAACCCAAGAAGGAGGAGAGCCCGGGTCAAGCAGACTACCAGACTGGTCCGAAGATATAAGTCTCTTTCACCAAAAGAAATAAAAGGCCAAAGTTTCAATATTGATGCTTCGAATTCCGGNGTGAAACGAGCACAAAATTTCCTGCCGTATATTACACAGCAAGGAAAAGAGAGTCCCCTATCCAGCTGACAGCGGAGTGGGTTCTCAAATGGTCGGGGGGAAGATCTGATAGTAGCCATGAACGAGGCCGCTGTAAGAGAGGAAGTACATTAAACATATCATCTGAGAAGGAAATCAACTGTATGAGTACCATTCGCTAACGAAGGGCTTACAATAAGTAAAGTGTGAAAAACTGAAGTCAGTTGAGCATAAAGAACAAAATTAAGCAGGTGAAAAGAATTTATGACGTTTGGCCCTCCACAGTTGGTTTGAAAGAGGACCTACTCCAGCTGACACTGTTCGGTTGCTACATCGAATTCTGGGTGTTTTTGCACGATCCACAAAGTACGGCAGGTGACCCTCTTTTGAATCATGGGCAGTAGATGTACGATGAGATTGTCACAAATTGTTACGACCCTTTCAGGCACTGGAGAAGGCGATTTCGCCGAAACGTCAGCCTAACAAAGCTACGAACCTTGTGAAGAATTCAAGAAAATGACTCAGTATACAGCAGCCATACAGCAGCCAGAGCTTCATATAGGTTACATACGTGAAGTCTACAAGATGATATTTTCCAGCAATACGTCTTGTGAGTTCCTGCCAGACCCATAACAGTCATTAACTGACAAAGGCAGCAACTATTTTTGGTACCAGTTTTTTAAAAGTGCCCAAGAATTGCTTCTGAAGTGATTTGGTGTGCCGGCTGGTTAGACCACTAAAAGGTAAATTAAGATTTGCGCCACATACCGAATAGCTCCTCCATCCGGGTGTGAATAAGGCGATAATCGTAAAAAGGAAAGCGAGCACAATGACGACACCAAACGGCAGTCGTAAAGACTTCATTGATCTGAATGTGTTGTACAAAGAGATGAATTCTGTTACTCACTTTTGAGATCTGTCCTTATTAAGTAGAATGTAGTAGAACCTTACTCCGAATCAATAACAACTTCATTAGTTTTCTGAAATCATGAATCTTTTATTTATTTATTTATTTGTTTATCTTCTCAACCTCACGCGTGGATGATTGCTTGACGTTTTAGAAAAAGATTAGAAGAACTTCGGCAATCAGATTTTAAACTAATCGGATGGGTTAACAGAACGGAATTCAGTGCACTGATATGGGTGAAGGTTCATTAACATAGGGCTCTGTTCTTGTGTTGTGGTCCTCATGTTGTATATATGGGGCCAGGAAATGTATCCTCCTCGAACTTCCCCCCAATATTTACTTCTATCAGGTGGTTTTCGAAGAAAGGCTGGCTCTTCAAATTCCTTCAGATTTGGTTAGCGGTATAGACGGTTAGGTCGTTTACTAGTTTAGTGGCCATTACTTTTTCGAGTGTGCCTTACGTTCTGCAAGCTTCCAAAACGCAAGCTGAAGCATCTCATGGATCTGATATCAAAATTTAGAAAGTATTTGATTTGAACTTTCTTATGTCACGATTTTCAGCAAATAATTGCTCTGAAAGGACAAGTTCAAATGTAATAAACGATAGGGGTATATCCCGATCCCTCTCACGTATGAGATCTGTTTTTGAAGTCTTTTTATTACCAAAAAATAACGCGACAAGATACAAACCTTCAAAAGCTAGGTTGACAGCCTTTTCGAGAGTATGTTTCTGGGAAGGATGTCGCTTAGTAGGAAAACAAATATTCTGTGATGTTCAGACTACCGCTGTGTCACCGTTGCTCCCCGGCAACCTCCTAGTTTTGAATAAAATATTAAGTGGTGTTTGGAATTCAAGCCGTGGTTGCTCACTAGCTCAAACGCACGATTACACCGGCATTAAATGGAGTTGTGCTCAAGACGAAAATAGTGGCGATTATTGGAGAAATAAGTATGCACTGATGGTTACCTCAATCGTTTGCGTGCCAATTTCGGTCCAGGCTAATGTCAACATACTTCTGATGAAGCTTTGTATTGACCGGCACCACGGCAAAATACGGAAATGGAAAAAGAAAACAGAAAACTCCAGCTGATGATACTGCTACCGATTCCATTGCGCAAGTGCTATAGAAACTCTCTGTAGTGCTGAACTATTGCATTGCTGCATGATCACCAGACTTGTGCTCCAATGCTTCTTTCTGTAATCACTCGCCAGCATGAATGCAAAAGGATAAGCGAAATAGTGGACAAGCATCTGAAGGAGGCAGGTGATGAGAAATTGCTTATTGGAAAAAATGCTCACAGAAACAGTTCGACTAAAAGGTATAAACAGAAGAACGCTAGGATATGGAGCCTTTTCTGAAAATGAAGTCAAAAGGATAAAGTCTTCTAGCGTCAATCAATCTCGGCTGAAGGATGCGCCCACGCATTCGACTTCCATTCAGAATCGTAGTGGCTGATTGAATGCGTATGTGGCCTATACAATGAATTGCGGTGGCCAGCCGATGTACAAGCCTGAGCTTTTATCCTCCCAGACGAGTCTGGTACCAATTCCCCGACCCCGGAGGGATGGGAGGTTTTGTTGGCCTAGGCGGATACCGATCGGGGATTCGAACCCGCGACCGTGCGTGCAATATAGTGTGCCACTTGCCACTACACCACCTTCGCCCTCTTTTTCTAAAANATGAGATCTGTTTTTGAAGTCTTTTTATTACCAAAAAACAATGCGACAAAATACATACCTTCAAAAGTTATGCTGACGACACTTTCGAATGATGTTTTTGGCAAGGATGTCGCTTAGTAGGAAAACAAATATTCTGTGATNACAATGAATTGCGGTGGCCAGCCGATGTACAAGCCTGAGCTTTTATCCTCCCAGACGAGTCTGGTACCAATTCCCCGACCCCGGAGGGATGGGAGGTTTTGTTGGCCTAGGCGGATACCGATCGGGGATTCGAACCCGCGACCGTGCGTGCAATATAGTGTGCCACTTGCCACTACACCACCTTCGCCCTCTTTTTCTAAAAATAGGTCCACTATATCCTCAAGACCTAAAAAGCATTGCGTCACTGCATAATTCACAAGCGCATTTTCGAGTCAACAGTAATCTTGACCTTTTATACAGTATAATCGTTTCGCTATTTCTTTACGATGATGTGAATCATTCAGTGTTGGTCAATCACATCATATGTACGTAGCCGTGCAGATCATGGTGTAAAACTGAGAGTTTAAAAGCTTTCTGAGAAAGCCACTATTATTAAGTGCTGCGTAAGCCGTTCCATTTGCTTCCTTCTCTTGAAATTGGCGTTGAGCAGGCAACTTCATCACATTATATGACACGACTTTTTCCAGTTGGTGGGCTCATCATTCAGCTGGGGGCATGACGAGGTAATGAACAGTCTGAATTCAACGAAAGCCAGCAAAATACCGCAGAATGAGGGCTGCCCACGCCTCTCAGTTTCGTTCCTCATCCTTCACATGAGCTAGCAAATCGCTTATATTTTCATCAAATCAAAATGACTGCCGGGAAACACACAATATCGCTTCAAAAAAGTGGAATTTGTTGGTGTTTTTTATGTTGGTCTCTTCAATTCCTTGACGCAAGGTTACCGAGCAAATGTGCCATAATATTCTTTTCTGATCTCTTCTTCAAGCCTTGGCTCAGAGCCCCGATTTAGGTTTCCACACCTGACCATCTTTTAGTAAACTATTGTGTAGGCCTTCTACTAATTTTCCCCATTTTACTCAATTGATTTTTGAAGATTAATATCTACAATTATACAAGGCACAGTTCACGATATGTTGAGGATCTTAGTTTAAGTGAAATAATGGAGTGATGGTGTAGAATAGGGCAAAGGTGTCGAAGAGACCGCCAAGATCGGCAAGCCCCCTAAAATACAACGTTTCTAAAGAGAAATGAAGATAAAGGGCTTTAC